GCCATGGCCTTCACTGCGTCTTAGTCCTAATGCAGTTGAAATTGGCAGTTGAGATCCACTATTGGCTGCCATATGATCATACAGAGCTAATGTCCATGACTTCCACTGGGAGTTTCCTCATTTGGAGGCCCCTAGCTAAAAGTTCTCACATAGTTTTGAATTCTCCATGGAAACAGACATCATCCTGTACAGGACTTGAGAAAGGACTGCTCTGTGAGGCCTGAAAACAGGATTTTCTCATAGAGCTATAAAATATGGCTAATCTGATCCTTATGCTTTATAAATATGCCCATTTGGTAGGGCAATATGAATTCCTCAAAATGAGGACTGAAAAACACTAGCAAGAAAGACCTAGCAATAAGACCTGGGTTTCTAGAATAGCCTTATACATGAATTCCTTGGGAGGTAGCATTAAAACTTGATTGTAAGAAAAGGTCAGAAAAATTTTCACCATGTGCGATCATTTTAAGTAAAATATCCCAACATATTTACATAGGTAAAATGGTACTTTGTGAATGCACTCAAATTCTCAGATGCATGCTAAAAAAATACATTATCCCATCTTCAATAAGACCTAAGTGCTTTTTTTATGTACATGGTAGAATTCTGTCCAAAGCATTAAGAGTTCTACACATGAATTACTTTTACTGTACACTACTTTAAACCTGTCAACAACTAGGATTTGAGTATCCATCCAACTGTTGTGCAGAATGCATTTAAGATTGATGTTAAGAAGAATATGCAAGGAAATATACCATTGCATAAAGTCTTTAAATTATTTAAATAGTAGAGGCAAAGGAAGCTTGCTCTTTTTTTATAAAAGTTGCTAAGTGGAAGTTCTACGACTACATGCTCTTTCAGAAGGCAGTATGTCAGAATGCAGATGTATCTGTTCTTGTGTGTGATGATGGCAAAAAAAAAAAACCGATGCAAAAAAAAAAACAAAAACCGATGCAAATCTACTTTGGCTCTAAATCTAGATAAAGATTAGAAAAGAACTTACTTTGGATTATATAAGAAAAGTTACTGAGAAACTTGATAGGTGTTTAAAAAATACTTTGGAAGTTTGATTGCAAGTAGACCTAAGTTAATACTCTGCTGGAGTTGGACCTCTTCTGGAAATGTTTTCTTTATTAAAGACAACTGGTAAACAGAAAGGATTAACTACAGGCACTCTTCTGTGCAATATATTGCCTCTGAAAACTCACTGGAGAGTCTACTGTGAGTTGGTTCTGAATCAACGGCACATAACAATCCACTATACCAAAAACAATTGGCTGATATAGAAGAATTTCATGAAACCACAAATAATTAAGAGCCAATGGTGATGAATGAAGAAGTTCAAGCTACTCTGAAGGAATTGGCAAAAACAAAGCTCCAGGAGTTGACAGCAAACCAGATGACGTATTTCAACAAATATGCTGCCATAGATGTGCTCACCAGGTTGTGCTAAGAAATCTGAGGACAACTACCTGGCCAGCTGACTCGAAGAGATCCATATTTATTCCCATTCAAAAAAACAAACGTGATTCAGCAGAGTGTGGAAATTATCAAACAATATCATTAATAGCACATGCAAGCAAGATCCTGCTGAAGATTATCTGAAAATGACTGGAACAGTACATCAACAGAGAACTGCCAGAGGTGCAGGCTGGGTTTAGAAGAGGCTGTGGCACTAGGGACATTATAGCCAATGTTAGATGGATCTTGGCTAAAAGTAGAGAGTACCAGAGGAATGTCTATGTTTCATTGATTATGCAAAGGCATTTGACTGTGTGGATCCCAGCAAAACTGTGGCTAACCTTGAAAGGAATGAGAATCCCAGAACACTTGATTGTGATTATGTAAAACTTAACTTGGACCAGGAGGCAGTCATCAGAACAGAGCAAAGAAACACTGCATGGTTCAAAACCAGGAAAGGTGTATGGCAGGGATGCATCCTATCTACATACCTTTCAAATTAGATGGAGAAGAGATACTTTGGGACGCTGGACTTTATGAGGAGGAACATGGCATTGGGATTGGATTGGAGAATGACTCGTCAACAACCTGCATTGCACAGATGGCACAGCCTTGCTTGCTGAAACTGAGGAGAACCTGAAGAATTGACTGCAGAAGATTAAGGATTATAGTCTTCAATATGGATTGAAGAACTACATAAAAAAACAAAGATTCTCACCACTGGGCCAGTTGACAGCACCATGATAAATGGTTGAGATTGTTAACAATTTCAGTATGTTTGGTTACACAATCAACATTCTTGGTTCCAGCAGTCAAGACAAATTGCATTGGGAAAATCCGCTGCCAGTGACCTCTCCAGAGAACTGAGAGGTAACGATGTCTATCTGGAGACTAAGGTGTGCCTGATCCAAGCCATGGTCTTCACAGTTGTTATTCATCAGAGAGCTGGACAATAACTAAGGATGATAGAAGAATTACTGATGCCTTTGACTTGTGCTGGAGAAGAGTTTTGAACATACCATGGACTGCTAAGAAAACAAGCAGGTTTACCCTAGAGAGGGTGAAACCAAGTTCCTTCTTGGAGGCAAGGATTTTGAAGCTGTATTGCACATACTTTGGGCATGTTGCCCAGAGGAACTAGTCCTTGGAAAAGAACATCATGCTTGGAAAGGTGGAGGGATAATGCAGGAGGAGGAGACCCTGGATGAGCTGGATTGACTCAGGGACTGGGTTAATAGGGGTAAGGTGTGTTGCAGATAATGAAACTGGCTCAAGATAGAGCAGAGTTCAAAGCTGTTGTACACAAGGTCACTAGGAGCCAAGCAACTCCACGGCACAGAACAACAACATAGAAGGAAGTCTTTCTTGGAAGAGGAGATAATACTCAGGTCGGCTGATACCTGCACCTATATAATCAGAAATACAAGAACTTGCAATGACATATGGGCTTAAGGCTCTGTCTTCTCTTGAACATTCCATGCCTCTGTATCACTTACAAATAATGACTAAAAGAAGCATTTCATTTAACCATAATTCTTAAAGCTTATTGGATGAGTAATTTATGGATAACTGTCCTGGATTTCCTATAAGGAAGATGTTTAATTATACTTGAGGGTTACATAGAATATTACATGTTGCCCTACTAACTAAACTATCAATAGTTCAAATACACCAGCTGCTCCAAGGGAGAAAGATGGGCTCTCCTGCTGTTAGGATTTGCAGGCTTTAAAGCCCCATGGAGAGTTGGAATTGCCTGTATGGCAGTGAGTGGAGGCTGGCTTTATTGAAAATGAGCCTACTTCAGTATTCGTAACCATAAAACTTCTAGTGGTTCCTGGCCTTGGTTAGGACAATTTGATTATCAAAGAATGAAAATAGAAGACAGAATAATAAGTTTATAGTGGGGCGAAAAAACCTTAGAAAACCTAAATGGTTAACATTCCAGGCAACTTTTAAACCAACTTCCTACTTCAGAAGTCAGTAATTAAAGGTAAATAATAAAGCATTCAACTTGCCTTCCTAGTGAGAGATGTATTTATTTTTTTAGCATGTGGTTGGTGGTGTTTTTTATTTTATTTTATACTGGTTTGCTTACAAAGTTCCTACACGTTATTTTTCTTTTTTTAAAATTTTTATTGTATTATTTTTACGTGTACCGTCAAATCAGATCTGACTGGTACAGGAGGAGGTTGTCCCCTCCTTCTCCAGCAGAATATCTGGTGGATTTGAACCACGTACTTCTGGGATTGCAGTGCAGCATCTTGCCACTAGGCCACCAGAGCTCCCTTTACACGTTATTTTTCACACCAGATCTTTCCCCTTTCCTTTACCCACTCCTCCCTCCACCCATTAAATTTTGTAACCCTATGACTAAGCACCCCCTAAGAGGTTCATTTTAAATATCTCAAGTTCAGGAGAAAAAACTAATTTACATAGGAATGTCAATCAATAAATACAAAAGAAATGGAGGGGGTTTTGGGGGTGGAAATCCACTAACCTTAATATAACTGCCAATTTAGGCAAGGATTGAGTTGATGTTAAAAATCCCTAGATGACTAGGTAATAAGTGATGGGTATTCATTTAATACCAAGGGAATACCATACAGATAACTCACTGGTCACCAAAGGAAGAGGTCGCTGTACACCAAGGGTTTAGATGTTGTATGCTGATCTAGTGGTCCTTCCTTAAAGGAAGGTCAACCATAGTTTGTGCTTTTCTGATGTGATACAGTATAAAGCCTACAAGATACCTTCTAGACAAAAATGCTTAGCTCAATTCTGTGAAGACTTCAGATACAAGTTCAAGACCGCAAGTAGCTCAGAGAACAAAGGAACAAGCCAGACACCAAGAAAGCACCTACACAAACCCAAGAACAGGTTCTGTAGGACAATGGCCCCAGTATCCTTAATGAGCCAATGTCTGCATAAAGGAACTGAGCAAGATTAAAATAGATTTAAGCAACATAACCAGTACCTAGTATGGTCACAGAATGGTAGACAAATCAACTGTAAAAATGGGGGGAGGAAATGTAGACATTGGATTATGGTATTGGTATAAGAGGAGGTAAAAATGCTTAGAAGACTACTGAAAAATGAAGTCACAGAACACTATGACAGTGTGATAGTATTTCCATTAAGAAGGCATGGAAATGACTGGAAAGAGCCCTGGGAGGTTATGCATTAATGTGTTAGCACGGGCTAATTGCTGAGGGATCGGAATCCAATGTTTCCATTTTCCACACACTACTGCATCTAAAATAAAAAGATATTTTGAAACAAGAATATCAAGGAAAAGGTTTCTCCCCTCTGTTAGCTAACCCTGAAGACAGAAGGTTTGCAAATGAATGAGTACAAAAATAAGGAATCGCTACCAGGTGACAACAACCATCACACTTACTGATTGAAGAACTTGAAGAAATTCTTCTGTGCTAGATTTGCAAAGACAGTAAAACGTTACAGAAACATCACTGCATGATAGAAGCAGGCAAGAAGCCAATTTGCATTATCTTTGAAATATTTAAACACACTCCCCCCACCCCACACAAGTAAGATACATCTTGCTATGCATCATTCACTCTCCAAATCAAGCCATCACTACTTGTCTTTAGCCTCAGAAACAATTCCAGTGTCTAGTATTTGAAAAGTGTAAATGAGTAATTTCACAAAAGGCTTGTAACTTCATTGCAGGCCGTGTCTCTCCCCTACGCCTCAGGAGTGGCATTGGGCTCGGCGTCTTCTTGTGGGGGAAGAGCTAAGGCTTCTTGTTCGGCCAGGGCCTCCCGGAGTTGGCTGCCGAGGACTGCATCATGAATGCTATAGAACAGCAGCTCTTTCAAAGCAGGGTTTTCGAAAAAATTATTTCGAGTGAGGTCATTCACTACTTGTGCTATAAAAGAAAGAAAGAAAGAAAGAAAAAAAAAAAGGAAAATTAGGCCACACTTCTGAGTGTCAGACTTGAGCATAAAAAATAATGTAGCTCGCTGTTACAGTTTGAGTATCTAAGCAATATAGAAAGATACTTAGCAAAAAGGTTTACTCCAACTCCTGTCCCCGCCATATGGTACTCCTAGTCTTAGAAAGCTTTTTTTGATGTCTTGTGCTGTTATGCGTTGTCAGGTAAGAACTGACTCATACTTGCCCCTCCAGCTAGTTTTTAAAGGGTATAAAATACGCAGGAAGAGATTTCCCATCTTTTTTTCTCAGAGCAGCTGATGGATTTGAACCACTTGATTTTGATTGGTAGTAGAATTCCTTACCACTAAATTGTACTCCCTATTCTTCCAGTATATGCAATGCAAATATAAATTAACAAAAAAGTATTCTAATTTCTTACCCAAAAGATAGACTATGAACATATCTTCACTTACACACACTTCTGGATTGTTTTCTACTTGTTTTTAAGTCACTACATGGTAGTCTATTGTAGGGATTACCCTGGTTTACTTAACTGGTACTCTGTGTTTGACACTTGTTTCAATTGATACCAGTCTTATTTTTATAGACAATGTTGTGAAGATGAACCAACACATGTAACTTTGAACAAGGGTAGCAGGTTGCTGGATTTGCTTAATTAACAGGTATGTTTATAATTTTAAAAAGATACTGACAGAATGCCCTCCATAGGGGCTGCACTAACTTGTACTGTCAATCTGAATCAATCTCAAAGTAAAAAGTGGCATATTTATATAGATTTCATCTTTAAGTACTGCTTTAGCATAAAAAAGCAAAATATTCCAAAACCATTGGATAGAAAAAAGTCACCTGACTGATTGTTATATATTATATAGCTTAGCAGTTCCTCACAATTAATTGCAGTATGCAATATCCAAAAGTATGCAGTTCAAATCCACCAGCTGCTCAGTGAGAGAAAGATGGACTGCCTCCTTCCATGTGAGTTACTGCCGCTGAAAACTCACATACGTCGGGTTCTGACTTGACAGTACACAATAGTAGCTCAGGGATATGAGGGTATAAAGTGGCTTGTTTCAAAGCTGGATGAAGGGTGATTTTCAGTAATGTTATTTTTACTGAACACAGAAATGAAAATATTTTTCAAATGGAGCTACTAAAAAAAAAATAGAGAGAGAGAGAGAGAGAGAGAGCACGAGCGAGCTAGCTAGCTAGAGAGAAACAACAGCAATTTGTTAAACTTCTTCCCAAGCTAGAAATATACTTACCACTGCATCCAGCTAAATATACATAAATACCGACATCTCCATATTCTTTTACAATCTGTAATAATGTTGAAATGAAGTTTAGTTTTTCTTGATTGAGCCAGATGAAATTTCTTCCTATTAGTATGTCTTTCAGAGATAAAGGAAGGTCTAGTTCATTCACTTAGACTACTTCAATAATTATGTACTTTTGAGCTGATCACCTAAAAGAATGTTGTATCTCTCTTGATTTTTCCTACAGATAGTGAACATTAAAGATACTAGGAAATCATTATAAACTTTATACCTAATAAATGTACTATGATAATCAGTTTTCAAAATGAAAAATATCCTCTTTTTTCTAGAGTTATTTACTGGAATATATATGGGTGATGGAATGACTGGGCTGGGTTGGAAACTAGTCAGAGAGACAGAGGACACACATGTTCATATGAGAATGAAACAAGATGGATAATAGCTGATCGTTGCTGAAGAGGTATCACAGTTATATGGAGATTTAAAAAATTCCACTCTTCACTTTTGGATATTTTAAACATCTTCTATTACTAAATGTTGATAAACAACTAAAAAGAAGAATTAAATGGTTTTTTAGCTTTTGTACTAGCATTCTAGTTCAATCCCCTGTTTACTGATGTTGGGTCTAGGCACAGAGATACTGAATGACTTATTCAGGATGATGCTCACCCCTGCCAAAGTTTTCACTCCAACAGAATCAATAAAATTGACTTGTGTAAAGTCCAGAATGATGGTATGGATATTATCCCCTGGAGGCATAAATCTTTGTACTTCTTCAGGGAGTGTGTTTTTGATGACAATTGGGGGATATTTTATTTCATCATCCTCTTCTTCAGGCTTGGTACCATCTTCTCCATCAACTTCTGCATCCTGTGCAAAGGATTAAAGCAAGCCACAGTTCAATGAGCAACATGCATTCTTAGCTTTCAGAAAGATTTTTTTAGTATTTATTGGAATTTGCCCTTATTCTCTTAAGTGACCAACTAGGCCAGATAACTCATAAAATATTTTTCATACCCCAGGCTTACAAAAGAATGAAATAAGGACTGACAAAGTGACTATAGCAATGGGCTCACGTGTGTCAGAGATAGTGAGTATAGGACAGGTTTTAGATCCATTGTTCATATGGTCACTATAAGTTGTAGCTGACTAACAGCACATAACAGCAACAACATAACATTCTATTTTAGCTCTATTTATTTTCTTCTCTTCCTCTTGGCCAGTAAAACCCATTCTCCTTAGTGGTCGTTTCTATTTGCCCCTAACTTTTAATACAGTGCCATTAATATTAGGGAGCTCTGGTGACTTAGCGGTAAGAAGCTGCACTGCAATCCCACAAGCATGTGGTTTGAATCCACCAGTTACTCCATGGTAGAAGGATGGGCAGTCTCCTCCCATGTGACTTACTGAAAACCTGCTGGAGGATCAGCTATGGATCAGTTCTGACTTGATGGCACCCAACAACATTAACATTAATATGACAAGTTGCAAGTTATCAAAAGCTTAAATGGGGGGAAAAGCTGTCATTTACCGCCCCCCCACCTATCATTCTATGCAAAGTACTAATAGTAATATTTACCAATGTATCAGGTGATTTTTATATTTTTAAAACCATGTTCTCTTGGTCTTTTATCACTATGTATGGTCAGAGCATTCTTATAACTGATTTTACCATATGCCTTCAATGAAGAAAGGATTTTTGTTTTAGTTTTTAACTTTAAGAATTTCAGACTGTGTTAAAACCTCATTCAGACATTTTAAAGGTGGTTGCACTGCCCATCAAGACAGAAGGGGAAATATCAGAGAAGAGACCACTCACCACTTTGAGAGCAGTCGCGTTGGCCATGTTTGCATTCCCGACCTCCTTTGCGTACTTCCTCAAGGCCTTTCTCCTGGCGCCCATAATGAGAGCTGGGTTCACGCCAGTCTTTACAGAACAACAACAAATGCAGCATCACTTACTGGCTCTCAAGAACCCTCAAAATGCAGCTCAACTTCTCATTTTGTATCTGACTGCTCTCTATGCTAAGTTATCGCCCTAATCCTTGATTTAAGATGTTCTGAGTTTTCTCTCTCTCTCACAACCACCATGATAACAACCTTAACAAAAGATCACTTTCAAGGATATGAACATGCACGGCTAAGCACAATTAATAACAGTGCATCTAAATTCCAAAATCAATCTCCATAATAGTCTATGTGTTTCTTACTGCCAAAGGGGCCCTTTAGAG